GGGGGAAGCCCCCTGCGGTGGCAGGGTCCGGGACCCGATGATCTTTGAGGTCCCTTCCAACCCAAACCATTCTGTGATTCTCTGCTGAAAATGTGCACGTTATTTAGGATTCGCACCTCGATTTCCAGTTCCCAGGTCCCGTTAAATAAGGGGCAGCTTCCTCTGTCTGTTGTCTGTCCTCTGCAATTCTGATGGGTAGTTTCAGACCAGCAGCTCCCAGCTCCCTGTTCTTACTGAGTTCAGCTGACTGGGTTAACACTTGGCTTGACGTGCAGCTGATCCTGTTGGTAAGAGAACAGCAATTTGGTTTGGGGTCCAGGTGGTTTTTAAGGTCTTGCCTTAGTGGTGCGTAAGGAAGTCCAGAAACCTGGTGTAGAACTATTCTTGTCTTGAGACTTTAGAGGGGAATGTCTATTCTTTCTCAAAAAAAAAGAAAAAAGAGAAAGTGCAGCCTTTTCCCAGAGACCTAGAAGAGCTATTTTGCAATAAAGCAACTGCCGAATACTTCTGATTCCTGCGCTGCTAACGTGTGTGTTGATCAACAGGCAGGAATGTGTGGAGCAGCTCCTGAAGAACATGTTTGATGGAGAACAGACCGAAAATTGCATAGTGAACGGAACACAAGTTCTTCTGACGTTGCTGGAGACGAGGCGCTCTGGGTAAGACACCCCTTTCTGCCCTGGCAAGAACAGTTTTAGGAACTCCGATCCAGTATCATTTAGGCACAAGAGGAGATGTTGGGGCCTGGCGTGATGAAACAAGAGCCGTTTGGGGGTTTTTGCCGCTGTAGCTGGACCTCGTGGCAGAGGCACCAGCTGACAGCGAGGCCCCTCTCTGGGCTCTTCTGCTTCTCTTGTACGTGTCACAAAATCTTGTCTGTGGTCGCGGGGATCCTGCGGTGAGGTGGGTACGGTGCTTCGTGCGTGCTCTGTGCCAAGGGCTGTGCCTCTGGGGGGAGGGCTGTATAGTTTTAATTCTGTTTTTTTACCGTTATGTCCACCATTTTTATTTTTTTTTTGGTGGAGGTAGAAGAGAGAAAAGGTAAAATAGAGCTCTGGGGAGGAAGGGAGGCACTAAAAATCTCAATTTTTAGAAAAGGAGAAAATAAAGAAGAGTGAAGGAGATAACGGAGGATTAGGAAGAGGTGCCAGAGAGTGGGACAGATGCTGGCACTGCACTAAAAAGTCTCTGGCCACAAAATCATGTGCAGTTAAAATGAGAAGTGGAAATGCTGCTGTGCTGTGTGCCCAGGATCTCTGAAGATTTGTGAGTTGGAGGCTGAGGGGTTCCTATCTAGCCCGTTCCTGCCTGGCTGGAATTACATTTCCCTGTTGAAATGGGAGTGGTTCTTTTATTCCATGGCCACACCTGGAGTGTCGTGTCCAGCTTTGGGCACCTCAACCCAAGAGAGATCTCGAGGGGCTGGAGTGAGTGCAGGGGAGGGCAACAAAGAATAAATCTTATGAAGAATAAATCTGATGAAGAGCGACTGAAGGAGCTGGGGCTGTTGAGTTTGAAGCAGAGGAGGCCCTCATGCCGCTGCAACTGCCTGACAGGACGTTGTGGAGAGGTTGGGGCTGGTCTCTTCTCACGGGGAAGGAGCGATAGAACCAGAGGGAACGGCTGCAAACTGCAACAGGGCAGGGTCACCCTGGGCAGGAGGAAAGATTTTTCCACAGAAAGAGTGGTCAGAGCTTGGCAGAGGCTGCCCAGGGAGGGGGTTGAGTCCCCACCCCTGGAGGTGTTTAAAGGCCGTTGAGATGTGGGGCTGGGGAGATGGTTTAGGGGTGAGCTTTGCAGAATAGGATCAGTGGTTGGACTCAGTGATCCCAGGGATCTTTTCCAGCCTGACTGATGGGGTGATTCCAGCACGAGGTGCTGCTGGCAGGGCCTGGGGACAGTGCTCATCCAGCCTGGCCGTGGAGAGGCGCGATGACAAGCTTGGCTGCATGCCTGCTCAAGATTTTCATCACTCAGGCAGTTTATGTACATCTTTCAGAACACTTGTGGCAGGTTTATGGTTTTTAACCAATGTTTATAGTTAACTCTTGCTGATGTAATTTGCTTTTCAAATGTTTGGGAAGTTTTAAGACCAGGAAGCACTTGGGTAATTTGCCTTTGGCAGCTCTGCCCTATGCCCTGTCTTCCCGCTCATCTCACAGTTTTGATCATATGAACATCATCGTGGAAATCATATATTAATAATAATGTAGTTATAGAAATGTATTCGGTAGCTGCAAATCACTACTTTTAGTACTCATGGTTATTTTTTCAAGGGAAAATGACCCACGTGGACAGTGCAACTGGAGACCGTTGGAGTTTTTGTCGAATCTGACCTGCTGTGCCTTTCTTTACAGAGTGGAAGGACTGATGGACTCATACACTCAGGGATTTGAAAGGTCTTACACTGTCAATAGCAGCATCTTACATGGGATTGAACCAAGGCTAAAGGACTTCCACCAGCTGCTGCTCAGCCCTCCCAAGGTAGGGAGAAGCCTTTCTGGGGTGCAGAGAGCTCCCGACCTTTTTCCTTTCCTTGTACGCAGCCTTCCTGGCTGTCTCTGGAAGTGCCGTATGCTGAAACAGGCAAACGGCTTGTGAAAAAATAAATTGCTCTTAAAGTTGATAATTCAGGTGCTGGGGCAGTCGGAATTCTGACAGCCCTCTGAGTCAAACCACGCAGCAGAGATACGCTGGGACTGGTGGCTTGGGTACGGATGATTAAGGGATGGCGAGAAGGGAACTTGCAGTGAGTGGCCGGTTTGATGTTAAGCTTCACTTTTGGAAGTACAAGTCTCACAGTGGCCCCGGGATACTGCCTGCTCTGGGAACATGGTTTAGGTTTACCTGGAGAGAATCCTAGACTGGCCCAGGCTGGAAGGGACCTCAGGGATCATTTAATCCCAACGCCCTGTCATGGGCAGAGGCGCCTCCCAACCAGATCAGGCAACACATGGGGACCGAGCGGGGATTGAACTCGCGGCCTGGGTGTTATCAGCACCACGCTCAGCCGACTGAGCTAACCGGCAATATTAATGAAATGAACTGGTTGTGTTTAGTCGTTGTGCACGTACACTCGAGGAAACATTGATCTTCCTCGCTCTTTGTTTCTCTGATAGAAAACAGCAATCCTGACCACGATTGGGGTCTTGGAGGAGCCGCTGGGAAACGCTCGTCTTCATGGATCTCGTCTGATAGCTGCTCTGCTTCACACCAACACTCCCAGTATTAATCAGGAACTATGCAGACTCAGTACCATGAATTTATTACTTGTGAGTAACACGCTGTGGCACTGAACGGGGAGGGGGGAATGACTTTGCTCTCGGAACAGTTCTGCTGTACCTCGACATCTCTTCAGTGCAAGGTACTTTGCTTCAGGTGTGCCGGCGTCTCATTATTTTTTTTTCATCTGCTGAAAGCAGGAGCATCCATCCTCAGAATAGCTTTTGGGATACAAATACGGTTGCTCAGTATTTTGAACTGAACCTCGCACTACAAATTTGTGGTCGCAGCAGTTTAGCAGCGTGTGCGCAGGACAGTCTGCTTGCAAAGGAGGCTTGGGGGGGTCGTGTGTGTTCCGAGAGCTGATCTTTCTGCCTGCCTGTGGGCAGGGACATGTTCTGAAAACGGCCACTATAACCTGGGCAATCTTTCAGAAAATTCTTTCCAACTTGGAAATTATTTAGTTAATATTTTTCTTAATGATTAATTCAGCCACAGAACAGGTAACGTGTTTTTGGCGGTGTGTCTGTGCTGTGAGCCCCAGCTCTGTGCGAGAGCATTCCCAGTTTGCTCAGTTTATAGACAAATAAACATTAGAGCGGGGCAAACAGCGCACATCTGACTGTGAGTGAATACTGAGGCATGTAGGTAAAACTGGTTTAGAGGAATTGCTGATGGAACAACTCGTTGGACAGTGCTCTAACACCATCCCATTGTTAAGAACAGGGAGATGTATCTAGAGGGAATTCTTTTCTCTTTTTTTTCCCCCCAGGACTTATTTTTTAAATACACGTGGAATAACTTTTTGCATTTCCAAGTGGAATTGTCCATAGCAGCTATTCTCTCTCACTCTGTGCAAGAGGGAAAACCTACTACTAATGACCTAGAAAGCAAAGAAGAGGTGCTGAATGGAAACGTGGCCACGGAGAGCTCGGAGACGCCAGAAAACAACACCGAGAATATAATGGTTACTCATGTAAGTCTGGTTGTGTCACCTGAGCATTTTAGACTGATTGATTCACTCTGCGTGTGTGTTAACGAGACCCAGCTCGTCAGGAACCTGGAACTTACTTAGAATTGTCCAAGCAGAACTTGGTTCTGTCAGTATCTGCTGTTGTACACTTGGGTTTAGCATCCAGTTACAAAACATTTAATGGCCTTTGCGAATCCGCTCTACTTTATTTTTATTCAAGGTGCACGTAAACTCCACAAAAAAAGTAGCAGCTACAACTAGCTAACGGCATTTCAGCTGCTGCGTCGTGGCCCTCGTGATGAGAGCCTTGGGTGGTGTTTGTGAAATGTCAGCGATGTTCTTTGATGCCTGCATGAGGCAGGAGGTGTTTGTAGGTACCGCTCCTTTCCCTGCATCCTCGGAGAAACAAACTGAGAAGGAAGAAACTTGAGCTCTTGGGGAAGAGAAGTGCTGAACTTTAGGTTCTTGTTCCGTAGGAGCGAAGGACTGGCCAGAAGTAACTCCGGTTCAGCCCAGGCTGCCTGAGGCGCGAGTCTTGCTTTGGCAAACTTCTGAGATGTTCTTCCTCTCTCTCTTTTTTCCCTCCAGCTGTTCCAGAAGTGCTGCCTGGTGCAAAGGATCTTGGACGCCTGGGAAGCCAATGACAAAATACAGTAAGGGGCCCTTGTTGGAGATCTGCAGCCCTAGAACATTGCCTTGAAATACTCTTTCGGTTATTTGGATCATTTACTATTTCATGGTGCCTGAAATTGCTTGGATTTTGATTGTGATTTGGAATTTGGATCGTTTAGACGTTAGAAAGCGAATCCCCCAAATAGGGGTGTCATTTGAAAGCATTTTTTTTTTAAAATAGGTTTGTAATATCTCAACCCAGACACACAGTGTGCCTCTTTCTTACCTTCCCAGGAAATGAGATAGCGTATTAACTTCTCCTCCAATTTTTTTTAACTACATAATTATATCCTCCCTAGAGTGAGCAACTGTGTGGAAAGTGAGGTGGACAAACATTTTTTCCTCTAGATTTTTTTTACTTTAAGCAACACTTGGATTTCATGCTGATTGCAGTGGTTCTAAGAACTAGATAATTAAAAACCCTAAAACATAACAGAGTGAAAATATGATCTGGGCTTCTGTCCCTTTGTCCAGCTCGATGTTTCGGTGCTCCCTCACTATTTTGGGCTCTCTGTGGCTGGGAAGAGCTTTGCAGTCCCACTGCAATGATTTGAGGCTTCCTGTCAGGCCATAATTGAGGGCTTGGGTTTTGCTTTGATTATTTTTGGTTGGTTGGTTTAGTTGCTTTTTTGGTTTGGTTTTTCCTTCCCTTGCAACCCTCCAGGCTGTTGATAACACATTTTGCTGATAGTTTTATTGCGCAACTATCACTGCGCGCAGTTTTGTAGGTAACAAGTATCTGTGGTTGCTGCTTAAGAGTTTTCCTAATTAAATTGGATAGAAACTAGAGCTCATCTATATTTAATGCCAAACAGTTCCTGTCGCCACACTGGAAGGAATTTTAATGGCAAGAAAAAAAGAAAAAGCTGGGTCAAGGACAGGTATCTCTCATGTTTTAAGAAGTTTTTTGAAGATTGTTGCATGGATTCGGTGAGGAGCTGGAGTTCCGCACTGGGAGCCCCGGGGTTGGAGATCCCAGATTGGGAGCTTGGAGATTAAAAATCATCAGCAAAAGTGATGGCAATCTATTTAGCCATTAGAGCATGGAATTTCTCCTTGGATTCCCAAAGTTAGTTCGTGTGCTTTTGACGAAGAACGTGGTAACGGCTAGAATTTAATTTCTAGGTAACCCACGTAATCCCGCAGCCCATTTAATCTGCCTGGGTGATTAGAATTTGGAATAAAGTCAGTGTGGTTGTCAGTGGGACTTTGTGGGGAACAGCAGTTTGCTGAGGCACGCTCCCTGGCAGGAGGGGGTCGGTCTCTTCTCCCAAGGAACAAGCGATGGGACGAGAGGAATCGGCCTCAAGCTGCCCCAGGGGAGCTTTGGGTTGGAAATTGGGAAAAATTTCCACCCCTGGAGGGATGGAAAAGCTGGGTGGCTGTGGTGCCCGGGGACGTGGTCACTGGTGGGGCTGCAGCGCTGGGGTAACGGGTGGACTCGATGATCTCAAAGGTCTTTCCCAACCCAAAGGATTCTGTGGTTCCGGGTGGTTTGAGGCACAGAAGGAATTGCTGCAAAAGGCTGGAGCTCAGCGCTGGGAACTCGTTTTCAGGCATTCGTTTAATTCGAGCGGTTCTAAACCCTGCGTTTGGGTTAGACTTGCTGCCCTCATTAAAGGGCGTGGGTGCCCCCAGAGTTTGTGCCGGCTCTGTGCTCGGTGTTTTGGTGCAGGAGCAGGCGGAAGGACAAGACGTATTTTTCTCCCAAGTCGTCTGGTCTCCTCACCGCGTGTGTTGAGCTCCATCGTGAGGGAAAGCCTGAGATAATGTCCGTGTAAACTCATCCGTCCTTTTCAGCCATTCGGGAGGTGATGCTGACACTTGTCAGGGGCTGTGAGGGTCATTAAAAAATTAAAATAAATTTTAACTGTTTTATTAACCCTGATCTACTTACTGCCTTCCTCCCTCCCGAGGGAAAATGAAAACTTGTATTAGTTAATTGTTGGCCTCAGTGATCTTCAAGGTCTTTTCCAGGCTGGGCAATCCTGTGATTACGCATTTTCTCTGCCATCACCTGGGAGAGAAACCTCTGGTTTTCAGCCGGACGCTTGGGAACGGGAGGTGGAAGCTTCTTGTCACCCTGTTTGTGGGGGGTTTGTTGTTGTTCAGTGTGGCGGCCTGAGTCAGCCTTGCACGCTCCTCGTGCTCCATCAGGAAATAAGGATCTCTGTATCTGATGGCAGAGCTGGGATGTGCGTGCAGGTAGAAGCAATAATTGTATGTGAGAGCTTGTCTGGGCTTCTCTGCAGCCCCTGCCGGCTCCAAGGCACAAACGCTGTTCCTGCCCGGGGTTCTGGGAAATTCCTGCCCGGGAATAATCTGCAGCTGGGCTTTACCTTTCGCTTCCCAAATCCCATCAGCCCTTCTTTGCCCACTGAGAAACGCAGAATTATGTCAGGCTCCTCCTGCCTGATTTTTAGGTTGCTTCTTCGCTCTCTGGTGAGGGAGAAGCAAAGAAGATTCAAAGAAGAGTGACGTGGAGGCTGCTCGGACTTGGTCTTAGCTGCTTCTGGTTTTGTTTTAAGGGAGAAATCCAGTCAGTGCAGATGAGTGTCTTTTGTTCTTTTGACTTGATCTGCTTAATACTTCAGCTGCAAGTAAAACTCCAAGGCTTTTTCAGTAGTAATGATGTAAATTCTTATTGCTGCGAGTTTTCTTTAGTGGAAATGATAATCAGATTATTTATTTCTGCAGCAATCACTCAGTGGAACTGAATAGCTTCCTTTTTTTTTTTCTTCCTTTTCTTTTTTTTTTAAATTTTACTTAGTGTGTCCTGAACTAGATGGGTGATCTCTTCCCTCTAAGACCCAACAAAAGGCAGAAGGGTTCGTGAGCTCAGCCCTTGCCTGTCTGCGTGAGCAAGGGCCACTCCTGCTGCTCCTCTGCCGCGTCGCTCACCCCACATGGGGGGACGTGTCCTGGGCTCTCACCGGGTGCTGGGGGCGACCCTGCGGTTCCTTTGCTACCGGCTCTTCTCCCTTTGCAGGGCAGAGGGAGGGATGAGGCGAGGCAACATGGGCCACCTCACGCGGATAGCCAACGCCGTGGTGCAGAACATGGAGAAGGGCCCCATGCAGACCCAGATCAGTGAGTTCATTAAAGGTACGTGCTCCTTTCGCCGGTCCTTTTCTTAGTTGGATTCTCCCCCCTTGATTAAATCACTCTCGCAGGCCTTTTGGAAAGACTTTCATTACATGTGTTTTGTGACGGTCCCTTTTATAACGAGAAGAATTTCCAGTTAAATGTCGCAGCTTCCCGTAACTCAGAAAACTGCCAAAACCCAATTTGGTTTTCGTGCAATTACGCTGAAGTTGTCGGAGGTTTTATTTTGGAACCAGAGAGTGAAGGAGGAATCCTTTTTGTGCTAAAGAATGCTTCTTCGCTCCTGGATTTATGTGTACATTTGTGGTGCTTATTCACAGCATCCTAAGGGTGATGGTTCCAAGTGGTGTTTCTATATTTCCTTATTCTTACACCTGCCTGGGAGGAAGAGAGATCGCAGAGGCCCCACATCTCTGTTTTGTTGGAGATATTCGTGTCGCCAGGCTTTGTCCATCGTCTCTTCATCGGACTTTATTTTGACAACTACTTCTATCTGACCTTTTTGTGTGAGAGGAAATAAGATTTTTCCATCTGCACCTACTAAGGGAAACAATGAGCACAGGTACGACCTGAGTTTCCGTTTCTGGCTTCTCATGGACGTACCAAGTGACGACAGAGAAACTCGCTGTGTTGTCGTACCTGCACGGAAGTTGAGAAGTTTTAAATATTCTAGTCAAGACTGAAAGCCTCACGAGTCACGGTGATTTCTCTCCGTTGTCGTGCTGTCCTGGCTCTGGCTGGCGCGAGGGTACCTTTGTCCGTAGTGCCCGTGCGGTGCCGCGTCTTGGAGCTGTGGTGCAGGCAGGGCTGGTGCCACGTCTTGGAGCTGTGGTGCAGGCAGGGCTGGGAACGCGCCCCTGGCTTGGCGACGGAGCGTCAGCGGTGAGGGAACGCCGCTGCAGCGGCGGGTTTCTCTTTTCTTCTCCTTTTCTTCTTTTCTTCTCCTTTTCTTCTTTTCTTCTCCTTTTCCTCTTTTCTTCTCCTTTTCCACTTTTCTTCTTCCTTTCCCCTTTCCTTCTCCTTTTCCTCTGCTCTTCTCCTTTTC